GGGTCCCACTGCCTGGGGGCCTCCCAAACAGTTCAAGCTAACCAACTGTCTCACTTATTCAGAGGGCCTGATAAGTTGGGGACTCCTCAGCTATTGATTCATAGTTTATGTGTTTCCACTAGTTTGGCTATTTGTCCCTGTGCTTTTTCCAATCAAGGTCTCAACAATTCTTACTCATACAATCCCTCCTCTTTCTCACCGAGCTCCACCTGGGGCCTGGCTGTGGATCTCTGCATCCACTTCCATAAGTCATTGGATGAGAGTTCTATCATGACAGTTAGGGTGTTTGGCCATCCGATCACCAGATTAGGTCAGTTTGGGCTTTCTCTCGACCATTGCCAGTAGTCTATTGTGGAGGTGTCTTTGGGGGTTTCTGGGGACCCCATTGGAGTAGGAAGAAGCAAAATGCTTTCTGTTCTTATATCTTAAACTAACCCATTTCCACAAATCTATACTTTGCCATGTGGCTCGTGGCTTACCCCCGGTGTCTTACATTATGCTTCTCTTCACAGTGGCTGGCTCGCATCTCCCTGCCTCAGCCTTCCAACTCCCAGAATTCTCCTCTCTCCTTGTACTGCCTATACTTCCTGCCTGGCTACTGACCAATCAGCACTTTATTTATCCACCAATCATCCACAGCAATGGATTTCATGAATAGCACTGTAAATCTGGTGAAGAATAGCTGGCTAAGGCAGTCATAAGCCATAGAGCAAGCTTATTGCTCTTTTTGATGAATATAATATCAAATACTTATTTTTGTACTCATCGATTAGTGCAACTCTCATTCCTTGGTAGAGATGCTTCTATTAGCAGTGAAGAGTGACCAATACATAGAGTTACAATGGTGGAAGGCTCAGCCCTAAATGCAACCAAGGCTCAAGGAGAATCAAGAAAAAGGATACTGAAAGATAGTAAATGCTAGAGCTTGCAGAGGGCTGCTGAGAAAGTGGCTTCTTTATAAGGATTAGCTAGTAAATTCATTAGCTCATAGCAGTTATGGTTGCCTGCACAAGACCTCAACAATACCATGACATCAAATTTTCCATCTGAATCCTAGGCAGGGGGGAGATGTCATAGGCTCTATCACTAGTTGAGGAACTATTGGCAACTGATGGTTGCTGAGAGAGGAAGTTAGTTTTCCTCACTAGTGTAGTTCCTGTAGATTGGCTATACTCCACTGGATGTTCTTACTGTAGAGCACATGAACAGAAGCAAGTGGGTTCCTCATATATATATATATATATATATATATATATATATATATATATATATATGTGTGTGTGTGTGTGTGTGTAATGTATATATTAAATATATATGTATATATATATTAGTGATCTCAAATTGTTTTCCTGAATAAGAATTCACTTGTAAAGAGGAGAAAAGTCAATTATTTCTTAAAATCTTTACAAGTTTGAGGGCTAGAATGAACATAAGAGTAATATCTCTAATATTACAGACAAATATG